AGGGCGTGATTGTAGGGAGGTCTTATTGTATATATATATCAATTTTCTTTTTATTAGAAGTTTTTTAATTTTTATTTATTTGCTCATGTATTATATATTTTTGTTGAATAGGTCTTTCATGGCGCCGATTTCGATATTATTTGGCTGCAAAAGGATTTTGGTGTTTATGTGGTCAATTTATTTGATACTAATCAGGCATCTCACCTTCTAGGTAATTAATTGGTTACGCTATTTTGTTTAATACATATTTTAATTAATTGAACACCAAAATAGAAATGCGTTATCATTCCTTGGCATATTTGTTAAAACACTATTGTCAAGTGGATGCAGATAAGAAATTTCAGTTGGCAGATTGGAGATTAAGGTATATATTTGATCCAATATGATGCCTAATTAATTTGTTTAATTTGTTGTTGATTATTATTTCATTTATTTGACTTATTTAGGCCTCTTACAGAAGAAATGATAAATTATGCTCGTTGCGACACTCATTATTTATTATACATCTATGATAGGATGCGTAATGAATTGATTCAAAATTCTGTTACCATGACTTATAATTTGTTAAAAGTTACACTTGATCGCTCTGCCGAGATTTCACTCCAATGTTATGAAACTTTTCGATATGATCCGAGTGGTGAAGGTCCGAATGGTTATCAGAAGTTATTAGCCAAATGGAATCATCCATTAGATAGGCAACAGGTTTGTCTCATTATTCGTTGATTTGAGTTTATTTTTTATTCATATGAATAATGTTATGAAAATTATAGCTTGCGGTATTTAAAGCTCTTCATGCTTGGAGAGATAATAAAGCCAGAGAGGAAGATGAAAGTTTAGCGTATGTAGTTCATCATTTGTGTGTTAAGCGTTTGACGTATTATTGTATTAGTAAATAACGTAATCCTAATATTTATGTCAGTTACGTTCTTCCGAATGATATACTTTTTACACTTTCCGAAAAAATGCCAGATGATTCCAAAGATATAACTCATTTCTGTAGAAATATAGTTCCTCCACTCGTTCGAGAAAATACTCTAGAGCTGGTTAGCCTGATCGCTGATGCTAAAAATAGTGTCTTAAATTCACCAAGTATCTTTGAGAGCCAACCTATGAGAATTGAACGTGATATAAGAACTGCAACGTCAAATAATGTGCCCATTCTCAATTGTAAGTTTATACTATACAATTCATTCCCGTATATACATATATATATTTTATCAAAAACAAAGTATTTACTGTTATGTCTCCCAAGCTAAAAACATAAAATGGGTTTTGGATAAATCTCATCCAAAATATAATGTTGATGATTATAAAGAAAAAAAGTCGGTATTATTTGGTGACTTTTATATTGAGGTTTGTTTTTATTAATAATAATTATTTAATGATTTCTTCTATAAGCATGCTGATGAATAACCTTAAATTTTTAACAGAATGAAATGAACGAAACATCGAAAAAGAAAGTTTCGGAAATTCTCTCGAATTTTACTTTTGCACTTCCCATACTTCCTAAGTCAATTTCATACAATTCTAATCGAGACAATCAAAAATCTAAACCAATCGATGAAAACTCTCAACCAATTATATCCCCTGTGGAACACATTTACGTTCCACCTGAGGCGAGAAGTACGAAATCAAAAGGAAAAGAACGGGAAGTAGTTGTTTTATCGCAGTCAATATCAAAGAAGCGCCAAAGACGTGAGGATGACGTAGAAGATGTAACAATCATTGAGAAAAATGTTAGTGCAATTATAATCATTTAATATGATATAGTAATGCAAATATTGCTAATGCTTAGCATGAAATTTTATACAGGAAAAAACTTTCGTTACAGAGACTGTTACTCCTGTGAAAGCTGAGTCATCAAAAAGTACAAATATGGATACGTCAACTAGTGATACGCCGTTAACTAAAGCTGAAAAAAGGACCCGAAAGAAAATGAAAGCTATTGGTACGTCGAACAAACTTTACATAATGTTTTAAATTGACTATAGTATACTTGTACATTTTTGTGTTTTCATGTTTGCACCCCTAACATTTAACGTCATAATAAATTTTAATAAATATATCACC